GGCGTTTGGTGCTTTACAATGCAATGTGATTACAGGTAATGTGATTGCAGATAATGTGATTGCAAGCTATGTCATTGTAGAGAAAATAACATTACAGTGTTTGGTATACAAGCAAAATAATTATTAAAATGCAGAAAAGATAACATTGCAGCGTTTAGTTTACAAGTAGTTTGCTGGAAATGTAATGTTAATTTTCAAAATTATCCCTAGTTATTAAAATATAAGTTTAATATATTTATATTTTTATTATTAATTTTTATATAATATCATCTTTTAAATATATTTTGAATGTCATATATTTTATTTTCATTTATTATTATAATCTTATATATTTTATTTTCATTTCTTTAATATAAATTTTTATATTATATATTTTATGTTAATTTATTTTATTTATATTATATATATTTTAATTTTTTATATTTTATTTTATTTTAATTTTTTATTCTTATGTTATATATTTTATTTTAATATTTTAATTTTAATTATAACATTATAAAATATTTTTAATAAGATAATAAAATTGAAGGGTAAAAATATCTTTAAGAATATTACAGAGTGTAATGTAATGTGATTGCATTGGTTTTAGACTGCAATCACATTACATCCCTTAGCTGTAATGTGATTGCATTGCAATCTTACATTGTAGTGGTTTGTTGTAAAACAAACACTGCAATATAATTTAATTGAGCATATTGCAGGGAATATGCTCTCACTTCCCCCATACCAAACACTACCTTAATTTTCTCTTATTCATTTGTTCTTCCACCATTTTCTTTGAAATTTTATACCCTTTAAACCTCCGAACTCCAATAAACAATCTTGGATTCTAATTGTTAAAGGTAAAGGTTTTCACTCCCAAAACCTTGATTTTCATGGTTTTCATTTTCTTTTTCTACCCATTTGAAGCCTTAAGCCACATATGAATTTTTAGAGCTTTTTGGAGTGAATTTGGAGCTAAGAATCGTGCAATCCAACCTCTAAGCTATTTTTTTAGTGCATTATTCAAGGATTTGAGCTTATATTTTGAATTGCTAAGGATTTAGGTAATTTTAGAAAAGTTGGCATTTTTTGAAAACTACGATTTCATTAGTTTTGTGATGTTTTGATGTGTTTAAGGGAAGATTAAACAATTTGGATGCATTTGTGAGCCAAAGACAATTGAGAGGCTAAGGATCAAAGCTTGGTTGTGAAGCACCTCTAATTTGTCACTATGAGTGGGATTTAATTAAATGCATGTGATGTATCACACATAATAACACGCACTACCATGGTACTAAATGTTGTGCATGCCTAGATGTTTTTGCCTAGGTTGAATGATGATATATGTATGTGTGTGTGTGTGTGTATTTATATTTTCCTAGAGGTATCTGCCTAGGTTAGAGAACAAATATGATTGTATACCTAGATGAGGATACTTAGGTTAATTAGTTATCTGAGATAGGAAACTTATGTTTGTGTGATTTATGGTGAGCCACATGGTGGCATTGTGTTGGAATCCCATGGTATGTAGGCCCTAGAGCAAGCAGCCTACCCATGGTGCGATATGAATTATGGATTAAGGATCATGCCAAATTATGGTGAATGGACTGCCCTATGAGGCACATGGGCATGATATGTATTTAGGTTAATGGCATAGTGATTGAGGTGATGTTATGCAAGTGAGGCCAAAGAGTCATGTTTGCTTATGGACATGACATATGCATGAATGCCCATGTAATTGTGGTTGATTTGAGGATATGGATAAAGTTGTTAAGCCATGATTGATTGGATTGAATATGATGAATACCCATCTGGTGTCAAAGGCATGAAGGCCTATAAATTGATTATGTTCCATCTGATGATGCCTTAGAGATTTAAAGGCACTTAGAATTATACCAAACTTAGAGATGACTGAAGCTAGTTGAATTTGGAATATGGTTGGATGTGGACAAATGAAATGTCATAAGCAAGATGGCCTGATTTATGGATATCTGTTCCTTCCGAAGGATGAATTTCGAACGTTGATTTGATTTGAGGATAAGTTGAGTCCAACCCCTGTGACTATGTGTGTGCTTATAGGGATAGTGGTAAGTAAGGATAGTAGTGTTAGTCTCACCTGTGACTCTCATCTACAGTGCTTTGATGCCACCATCCGTTGAGATTACTTTGGGTGATGCCATCCATTGGGAGATTACTTCGGATGATGATTATGTGCATGATGCTACTCATCTGAGAATACTTTGGGTGATGCCATCCATTGAGGATTCCTTTGGACAATGATTTGATTCTTCGCCCGTTGCTTCGACACGTGTATGATCTAACTCTTTGCCCATTGCTTTAACATGTGCATGATTTATTTCTCTACCAGCGACTTTGCCCTGAATGTGATTTGACTCCATCGACTGGCCATTGTGCAATATTTTACTAGGTCTAAGGAAGACCACTCAAAGATTATGATCTGATTTATGAATGATGTGACATAGCCTCGGATAAGCTCAAATGAAATGATTTGAACGATTATGATATCTTAGCAACCAGTGTGTGCTTGTGTATGTTTATATGGATACAGCTTTGAGGATAAGCCTAATAGCATATGTATCAAGTTGGAGACTCCCTAAGGATAATTGATGTGCCTTTAAAATAGGAGAAGTATGATTGAAATATAGTTGATATTTGATGGAACGCTTTGAGGTAAGAAAATTATAGATATTGAATATTGAGATTATGCTTGACTACTAGAGTGAGCCTATAGAGCCTAATTTAATGATAGTTTTAAAGTTAAGCCTTAATTTGATATGCTTTGATGTGGTGAAATATAGTTTAAAAAATTATGAATGTGATACGCCATTGAATTGTGATCCGGCAAGGTATAATACGATGAGATGTGTATGTCGGATATTAGGATGATTCTCAAACTTTCATCTTTTGGAGGTGTTTGCTTATATTTGACAGACGGCTAGATATGCCAATATATGTGTGTGAGGTATTATGCTATATTAGCATCCCTCCTCACTGAGTATTAAACAATTTACCCTTTTGTTTTACCATGTGCAGATAAGTAAAGCTATAAGATTGTGTGGCTAGTGTCATCGTTGGATGGACACACATTTGGCATCCGGTAGGTTTCCATCCCATTGGTCACTAAGTTGAGTCCAAACTATGTTTGCTTTCAATGGTGGTACTAGTTTCCCAACCATGTATATTCGGGATCTGTGCAGGCATAATGATACCATTTTTATGTATATAAAGGTTGTATGATACGAACCTGCTATGACAACCAATGTATGGCTTTGTGAGAAATGAATTAAATATTGTGTATGAACTATGTGCCAAGGAAATATTTATGTATTTAAATTAAAATATTATATGAATGTATGAGATTGAAAATCCTTTAACAATGTGAATATGTTTGGCAATTTTGAGGTTTGCTCAAGTTTCACGGGTTTGACTTGCCAAACTCATGCACCAGTCAAGGACCACCGAGTTTGGGTCGTGACACCTAACTACGCTAGTGTGGGTTTTCACCATAAGAAGGAAAAGTTTGAGTACCTTAAAGAGACGTCGTTCTATAATTAGGAAGATCGTAGCATGGCCTCGAGTAGTGTGGTGTCGACCATGACCCTTATTAAATTCATGAGACACGGATGCCAAGGATTTTTGGCAATAGTCTTGGATATCTTGGTGGATGTGGGAAATGTGGCAAATGTGCCAATTTTGGGAGAGTATGTTGATGTGTTTTCGTAAGAGTTGTCCAGATTACTTCCAAAGAGAGTTGTTGATTTTGCACATGCAAGTATATGTATTGAACAAGTAATGTAGTGATGAAGTAGAGTGTTATTCCTACGGAGATTTATTTCTAAATCTGTACTAAAGACTAAAATTTAGTGTAGTGTCAACCATGGCCCTCGTTAAATTCGTGAGACACGGATGCCAAGGATTTTTGCCAATAGTCTTGGATACCCAGGTGGATGTGGGTGACGTGGCAAATGTGTCAATTTTGAAAGATTATGTTGATGTGTTTCCATGGGTGTTAACTCGAATTACTTTCAAAAAGAATTGTCAATTTTGCACACATAAGTATACATATTGAATAAGTAATATAATGATGAAATAGAAAATCGTTCCCATGGAGATCTATTCCTAAATCTTTATTAAGGACTAAAATTTATAAAATAAATTAATCTTATTTAAGTAATTCAAAAATTGAAGAAAAACTAATTAAAAATTAACACTAAATAAACTAACAAAGTAAATAAGTTGAGAAAGCAAGTATATTTAAAGACCTGAGATTGTGGATTCATTCAACATTTCATCTGATACAAGCTTTTCTTGTTATTTATCTTTCTTGGATGTTTTATTAACCTAAAATCCAAAACTACGGACAAGTCTTCATTGAGTTGCTTATACAAATACCTAACTTAATTAGTTCACTATATAGTTATATAAATCAATTAAATTAAGTTTATTAAGCAAATGTCTTAATATGCTTATGTATGGCAATTGATATATGTCCACCTGAATCACGAATCAGATTATCTAAATGATGTGAATATACACCATTTAAACCTTAGTCTAATATAAAATCTCTCTATTTAGTCTCAATTAGATTCACAAATCTGTTAATGGTTGACCAAACAATGAAAAGCATTAAAAATATTTTTGAATAAGTAAAACTACACAAATTCATGATAAATAAAAGATAAAATTTATATTCATAAAGCTTAATACTTATTTTGACCTTGGCACCAAACGATAAAATGGATACTTTTCAAAAAAAAAAAATTAAATATTTAATTTTTTAATTTATTCCAAATTGAATAAAATTATTATAAGTGTTTCATAATTAAAAAATAAAACAAAAACGAAGCCTTCCATATTATTTTACTCAAAAATTATTTTCAATAATTATTTTATAAATTACTTAATTATTTTTTGGATGATTTAAAGAGTGAATTTTATAATTTTATAAATAATTTTAAGAACAAATAAGCATATAAACCGTATAAGAAATGCTGAGATTATGATTAACTAATTATAGCAACAATCAGATTATTCGGATCCCCCCCATCAAACCCCGAATCATTTCTCTGATTCCCACCAAATACCAAGCCAAATCCATTCCTTAACACTACAACGGGTAACCTCATTTCCAATTGCGTTTCTTCTAAGCGGAAACCGGCCATGGCCGCCGCCCCTAATCCTCGCGCCTCCTCTTCCAACCCTCCTCCTCCGAACCGTTTCGTCTTCTCCGCCAACTATCCGCCCCGAGTCGCACTCAGTCCCAGTCAATTCAACTACTGCTCTCAGGCTCTCAAATTGTTTTCCGAAAAGCTCCTGATGCCCCAGGAAATCACCCGAGAGTTCGCTCACTTGCAGGTGCCTCCATCCCTAATACTTAATTTTTTTTTTGCATTTATATATTGTTTTCCGGAATTGGGTTTTTAATTTTTGTGTTATTATTTGTAGGCAAATAGGATTAGACATTCGGAGATGGCGAGGAGCTGTACAGTGGGTCTTAACGGTGTAAATTTGGACAAGAATCGATACTCTGATGTTGTACCATGTACTTAAAAATGTTTATATTCTTTCTAATGTAAATTTCCTTGGTTGATTAGTTTGTGCTAATCATTAAGAATTTCTTTTTGTTAAATTGAATTTTATTGAGTAGACTTCCTTTTAATGGTTTCAGTTGACAAAAATAGAGTTGTTCTTAATTCATGTAAAGATTACAGACCAGCTGCAAAGGGTTATATCAATGCGAGCTTCGTCACGGTAGATTTCCATGTTCTTTATATTTGAGTTGAAAGGAATTTATGTAGGGTATTTGGTACTATTTTCCTCCATTTTGACCTTTTTAGGATTGTGATGTTCTTTAATGTAGACTTCTTCGTCAGAGAACATTTCTCAGTTTATAGCCACACAGGGTCCACTACCACATACCTATGAAGACTTTTGGGAGATGGTGATCCAACGTCATTGCCCTGTCATTGTGATGCTTACTCGGTTGGTTGACAATTATAAGGTACTTCATTCTGTAGGGGCTTATCAAAAGAACTTCATTCTGTAGGGGTTGATGTGAACCTTTTGGTACCTTGAAAGTTGAAAATGGTTGAGTTTGACTATATGCTGTTTCTAGTCCAAAATATTCATAGTTTGCAGCTATGCATGTCTAGTTAAACCTGAATGTTTCATCTTTCCAGGTTTGCTTGGCTTATATAAGTAGTTGGTTTTAGGTGCTGTTTGTGCATGATGCAACTAAATACTGTTTTCTTTTTTCAAAATATGATCTAGATGATTATTTATCGTATCACCATCATTTCACAAGAGATGAAAACTTGCTCTTGCATTCTTTCAAAACCACTGGAACATGTAGGCTCATACTCTTTTTCTTTCTTTTGGTCAAAAGGTAGATTGGTATTTATTAATATATATGATCATACCATATGAACAAATCCTATTGGTTTTAATATCATATGAACAAATCCAATTGGTTTTCTTTTGGGAGTATACGTGCTGGTTGTAGCGTGATCTAAATAAGAGATACACTAATTATGACGCAGCTTTGTTGTTTAGTCTCTTTGTCACTCATTATATATGTTTTCATTTCTTAACTCTCATGCCTGTGGACTGTACAGAAAACCTTAAGAACCTCCTGAAGTTATTATCTGAATTAGTTGGTTTTGATGTCGATATTTTCAGTGATGATAGAGTTTTGTGTCACAACATTTTTCCTTTACACTTTTTGGTTGAGTAAGCACAATTTCATGTTTCTAGTCTTCATTTGTTTTTTTTTTTTTTGGTTTATTCTTATTTAGAATTTATTCTGTGCAGATGGTAAAGTGTGGAGATTACTTTCAAGCAGAAGATGGTCCTAGACAATTTGGCAATATCTGTATCGATACAAAGTGGATACAAGCAACAGACACCTCATTACTGCTACGCAACTTGGAAGTAAACTATAGGGAGGTATGATTTTTTTTATTCTTTAAAAAGAACTTGATGAAGAAATGCTAATAATGGTTTGTACTGCAATGGCCAAAAGGCTGGAGGTTATTCTCAAGAGAAAAGAAAGTTTTCTCATCTAATAACAACCTATTCATATATTTCTTTTGGAGCGTATTTGATAGAAGATTACAAAGTGCATAGTTACCTTCAGGATTTTGTTGGATTGTTAATACTTTTCTTTTGGAGGTATTAATTCCCAAAATTAGCATGGAGCCTTAGCCTTTATTAATAACTTCTTTAAGTAATTGTTTCTCTAGTAACCTCAGAACAGATTCTGGAGTGACTTGTAAGTTGGATATATTATGAATTAATTGTTATGGAAGGTATTGGAATACTGAAGCAAAATTTAAAATCTTTTTTGTTTGTCAAAGTATAATGTTGTGAGTAGTTACTCTGAAGAAAGTGGACAAGCAGTTCCTGTTATTGCAATATATTATACAGAGACTAAGGCTAATGCCATAAGAGGAATCTTCTCTTACTTTAAGCCCCTAAAAAATTCATTCTTCTAAGGTGAACTAATTTTCTATGTCATATAGTATTTGCTTAAGATTTATTACAGATCAGATTCTAGATCGCTTGTATCTGAGTTGGCATCAGCCATGGATGCTAAGAATTGAATACAGTGCTTTCAAGTTGACTGTTTAAGTTGAAGGCTTTATTTTCAATAATAGAATTGAGATACGATGATGGCTAGAGATTGCTGAGAGCACCATATTCGAAGTTATAAACACTCTTGATTTATTTATTTATTTTACAATGAGTTGAAAATTGCTTAAAGCTAATTGAGCTATGTTGCTTTTTTTTCTCTTTTTTGGGATGATTAAGATTTCTGATATATGAAATTGAGAATGATTTCTCGACAGCTTAAGAAAGGATGTGGGAATTCGAGGAAAATTCTCTTATCAAATTGAACAAAGATTTTGGACCAATTTCTGAAAGGATGTTAGTCTCAAAAAACTTCATTGTGTACAGAATATAGTTTGAATGTAACCCAGGCAAAGTGGTAGCAGACTTGATAATTAAGTGGCAGCTATTGCTGAAGGATTTGGAGATCAAGGAAGAGATGTGCAACCCTATAACATGTTTTAGCTACTAAAGGCAGGCTATAATTTTTATTGGTGCCATCAGAAAGGTGGTGGAATTTGGGAGGAAGAACTGGTGGAATTAATATGATGTTTGGTAGTGATCGAGTTTCGTGATTAAGGTTGATAGTGATGTTAAGTCTTAGACTGTGATATAATGTGGTAAGTCTTTGCAAGTTTCATGAATCAGGTAATTTTGTTTTTGGTGTTCGTGTATGTCTCTGTATTCCTTTAGATGGGAGGTGCTGAACCTCAAAGATAGTGAACCAGTTTTCTTAATTTGAAATTTAAAAAAGGAAAAATGAAAGCAAAGGACTAGAGATAATAACTAATATGATGAGCTACGTCAACCAATTTATAACCTGACATGTCCTAAAATGTGGAACTAAGTAAAATCAACTGATTATCACCTATGCTATGCTGTAGCTGCCCTTTTTCCAGCTATCCTCTAAGTTCCCGCCCTAAACATGAAACCAGAGTGCTTGTTAAGTATGAGGATCACATGCAAAGTTAACTCACTCTGATAAAGGACTTTGATTGTTAAAGGCGTTTGTCTAATAATATATGTATCCTCCCTTGGCCCATTTTCTTTCTCTAAATTTTGGCATAGGAGCCACTAGGCAGCTTAATTACTGAATCAGTCATCCAGTGCCTCGGAAACAATGCAGCTTGGTTGGGGGGACCAGTTGAAGTAAGCATTGACTACTTTAGATTACATCTGTTAAGTATCTAGCTTCTTTATGTTTTAAAGAAATTACTAGGTATGAGATAAACAAAGTTTTCTTTTGTTGTTAGGTCAAGTAAAATTGCTGAGGTGTTTCACCTTAGTGTGATATGGGTTATCTTACTGCATAGTAGCTTATAAAAAAAAAATCTTACAGCATGGTACTTGTACACATTGTTTTCAACTGTAAATTTTAAGTAATGTGATGGTTGTTTGGCCATCCTTCTTTAAAACAGTTTAGAAAAATTGGTAGGGAAGATTTTACAGTCTCGCCTCCCCTGTGGGGGTAAAAAAGAAAAACAAAAAAGCGTATTGCATTTCTAAGGTAAAATGTTTTCTCTATTTATCTAGAAATTGAAAAGCAAAATGCTTCTTTGTTGTCATCTAAATAACTGGTTGCCTGATCCTTTGTTATCATCTTGCAGTCAGAGGACCCACCAGTATCGGTTTTGCACATTCAATATCCTGAATGGCCTGACCATGGTGTTCCTGGAGACACACTTGCTGTCCGTGAAATCTTGAAAAGAGTATTACAAGTACCAACAAATCTTGGCCCTATAGTGGTGCATTGCAGGTTCAGCTCATCTTTATTACTTTAAAATATTGTTCAAGGATGTTAAAGTCAATCATATATATCCCTGAGACAATTTCTCTCTGACTCAGTGCAGGTATTGGGAGAACTGGAACATACTGTGCAATTCATAACACAATCCAGAGAATCCTTGTTGGGGACATGTCTGCGTTGGACCTTGCTAATACCGTATCTTCATTTAGGTCTCAGCGTATTGGAATGGTTCAAACCTTGGTATTACTTCCTTCCATGTCTAGAACTTCACTTTTAAGTTAAGTACATCTGATTTGTGTACACAATTTCAACTTGCTAAGCTATTAGGATATTCTGAGTTCCCGAAAGAGTATGGAGCTGTATGGAAATTATGGTTAGTACTCATTAGTGACGCTGAGAAGGCACTGAAATTTTACTGGAGACTTTGCAGTAATCAGAACAAAAGAGAGTAATAAGCAACACATATATATGAATCTTTTTACACATTGTGAGTACAATGTAGTTGGCACACTGATTAGAAATGCTTTAAGCAACTATTTAAAGATATCGTTGCAATTAAAGTTTCTATCTAAAAAAAGTATGCCTCTGAGAGTTTTGGTAAGGTGTGCTCTGTTTCCTATTAATGTTCCTTTCTTGTAGTATTAATGAAAGAATCATCTTTGGTGAGTCAAGATATTAACTGTCAAGAAAATACTTTGATAATTGTTTGATCACGGAATGTATTATACTAAAGTTATATATTGCTCATCATCTTTAGCTTACATGGTTTAGGATGGCATTAGGATAGCTCTTTGATCCAATTCTTGATAGAAACTATTAGTATATGGAAAGAATAAATCCCTGTTCTTCTCCTGTAGTCCAATTTGTTAAGAATCAAAATGACAAGGTGCTTATCATTCTGTTCTAATGGGAGTTTTTGAACAAGCCTGATTACGTTATATTTGTCCCCTGCACATCCTTGTATTCCGAATTATGAAGTTTTGACTGACTCTTTCTCTGCTTACTGTTTAATAGGATCAATATATTTTCTGCTATGAAGCGATTGTTGATGAATTAAAAGATCTTGTCTCAGAGTTCAGCTGTGAATACAGTTCAAAATGGTTTGTTCTTTGAGTCTGTTGAATTTTCTTGAATTTTTACAGAACTATTTATTGCATGACCAACTGTCTTAGACCTGTTTTTTGACACATGCTGTATAAAGTCTAAAATGCATTTGCTAACACAATGGCCGCTTCTTCTTTTTTTTTTTTCTTTTTTCATTGGCAGCTAGATTTCTCCCTACTAAAGCTGATTCTGATTCAGCAACAAGAAGCATAGCATTTGCTTATTTCTCTCAAGTTGGAGAAATGCATATTTAATGATACTTGCCCTATATCGATCTGTTTCTAAAGTGTCTTGGGGTTACATGGCATCCTGGAAATAAAGAATACTTCTAATCAATTAATTCAGTTGACCTTAGTTTCAAGGTTGCAGCAGTTGCAAAATTTAGGAATATGGACAGAAACTGTTTTACACACCCTTGACTCCATTCCAGGACCAGGTTGCATATGGAAAGGGCCTGTTTGTTCCCATATCTCTGGTCTTTATGATGAATTGATGATACTTGAACAAGGTTATGTATTTCCAAACCCAGTCTTTTATTTGTAGACTTTATTTGTTGATCAAGTATTTGTATATTAATGATACATGTATTTGTCAATGCTAATTTCATGCACGTTGCAACAGCTGACATGGTAGAGAGGCCAAAATAGTATTGTCTCGTTGTTGTGATAAAATGAGAATTATTTGGTAGGTTTGTCAGTTGTGGTACTCAGCTGCAATAATGGAATTCCAAACTTTGGTTTCAGAACTGAAAGTCTGATAGTTCAGCGGCTGTTGAATGGGCTAGGGTCCAGAGAGTAAATGCCTACTTGTCTACTCTTCAAGTGCTGGAATAATGATGATGGCTTGGTCACGAGATTACCCTGCCAACAAGTGGAATCTGTGTTCCATGACCTGAACCTCATGGCACTCATGCGTTGTCCATTTAACATGATTGAAACCTGTCATCACTGATACTTTTAGATGATAGTTATGGGGTGATCTTGAGACCTTAATGACCTCAAAACCTTGAGCATCAAGCATTTGCCGGTATGAAATGAAAGTGTCGAGTCGTCTTGTATGCGATGTTTGGATTCTTCTTGGCAGTCCTTACCATATTGATATAGTTGAGAATCGAAACTTGAAAATTTCAATGAAAGGTAGGGTAGGATAATTTATCATCGAAGTATTCAATTTATGATGATAATGCTAGGATTTTGGTTCAAGCAACAAAGCCAGGAGTTCTCCTTCAAGTTACCACAAACATCGAAAGAAAGCGAACAAGATGCAGCAATTCATGGTACCAGGAAAACCATACCAACAAAATTTGTGCGAGATAAAAATGAAGTATGTCAAATTCAATCTTTTGTCTAAATTGAAAAATTAATCATTTTGTAACGAGATCAAATATGTCACATCCAATCCAATCTCTTATTCAATCGAAAAACTTAAAAACTTTACCAATTATCTTTGTAAATCCAAGTGCATTTAAAATTAAAAAAAAAAAAATTGTGCATCAAACTCCAATCATTTATCAAAGAGAATACTCATGACACTTCGAAATCCTGGTCCCCTCTTATTCCTAAGAACCTCTCTAACATCCTTCTCATCAGGCACAAATCCCTTCTCCTCCATCCGTTCCAAAAAGTCCTTAGCCTCATCCACCTTCTCCACCCTGGCAAACGCCTCGAAAACCGCCATGTAAGTACCTGCGTTAGGCCTAATCCCTTTCTCCAACATCTCCATCAGATACTTCTTTGCATCCCCGAGATGCTTAGCATCACCAGCAGCAAGGCCTTTGATGAGAACAGTGTAAGTGTAAGCATTGGGTGCAACCCCGGATGCCAACATCCGCATGAAACCTTTGAGAGCTTCTTTACAATGACCCGCATTGGCATAAGCTTCAATAACAGCTGTATGAGCAACCACGTCTGGCATTTGACCTTTGTCTTTAAACTGGGAAAAGAGCTCCAATGCTTCATGGGTTAGCCCGTCCTTTGACAATGCATCGAACATCTTAACGGCGTTGCTGATAAGGCCATCACTTCGCATATTATGGAACACTTGTTGCAGGTTTTTGGGGTCTTGGGGTTCTTCAATAACGGGCTTTTTGTTAAAGGGGTCGTAAGGAGGAGGGAGTTTGGACTTGTCCAATTCCTGCTTTTTGGAAACTTCTTCTTCTTCTTCGGAGTCTGAGTCTGAGAGGGAAAAGTTGACCTTGGTGTTGATTCTTTGGGTATGGTCTGGGGGTTGGGAAGAAGAGGAGAAGGGTGATGAGAGTAATGTAAATCTATGGGTTGTTGTAGGTAGAAAAAATGAAGAGGAAATGTGGGTTTTTGGGTTCATGAGTGAGGGAAAGAACGTTGCAAGTGAGAAGAAATTTGGTTTTCGGACGCAGGAACGCAAAGAAGAAGGATGCTTAGATGACAAAAGGACGCGAGACATTATTGCCTTAGCCATGGCCGTGGACGACATTGTTTGCAGGACTAATCAAAGCAGAGGAAAGTTCAAGAGCTGGAAGAAGGAGACAGAGTATAGAAGTTTCTAGGACAGGGAGGGAAGTTTTCTTCGAGTTGCAGTACTCAACCTGAAATATATTTATAGTCTTTATAAAGTCGACAATGTTAGTTAATAAAATTCAGAAAAAATATCATTATATGACGTTAATGTATCCCTTTATTATTTATTATAATATATTCACATTAGTGTTGGTGATTTGATTGATATTAATTAGTTAAGTATTAATCAAATTTATTTGATTCAAACTCAAAATAAAAGTGTCAAAACTTGACGAGACAAAAGAATAATAATTTTTTAAAATAATTTTTGAATTTTTTAAACATTATTCTTAAATAAGAAGAGTAGCAAATATTTGAAAAAAAAATTAATTAGTTAACTACTATATTTAGTCATAGCACATTAAAATAGACCTTTTTCTTTTGAATCATGTACACCAATAATAATTTTATTAGTTATAAAAATTTCTAACCTCGCTTTATATGTATTTTTAATTTTAATGATTAAATTACTTATAAATTCAATCAACAAGTAATTAACTACTAAGTTAGATATAAATCCTTTTAAATTTGAATTTCAGTTGCTTATATAAGTTCTCTTAATTCTATTTTATGTTTATTTTCTTATTTAAATATTACCATATAAGTTATAAGATTAACAAAATGTTTATTTTCCCTCGAGTAAGTTCAATTCATTAACAAAAAGTAGCTTCGACTTCCAAAGCTTTATAATTCAAGATGTTCAATTGGAAAGACAAAAACATAATTCATTAGAAACAACACTTAAATAATCATAAAACTAATAAATACAATGAAGCTCGTTACATAACATAAAGGAAAGAAGAACATAAGTTGAAGCACTTGTAACACTCCAAGATAGCTTTCACCATCAAACACAGAGTCATATTAACCCCCCAAAAAAAAAAAATCTCCTTCTTTGCATCATTATGGTAAAGCCAATCACCAACACACGTCGAACATAGTGAGATGATCCACTCCCATTTTTGCACGTACATATGCAAAGTGATTTGCCTCCTTATAAATCTGTGTATATCTGACACCATCAACCATCTTCTGCAACTTGTCAATATCAACAAAAACCTTCCACAAAGCCCATGGCCTAGTATCCAAGGTGAGAATCCATGAAAGTGCAACACAAGAATTTGACTCAATAATCAAAGATTTCATACCTTTCCATGGAAAATCAACATAAAAATGTAAAGCATTTCGAATTGTTAAAATTTTAACGTAATTAGACTCTTGTTTACCAAAGGGACCAAAGGAAAAACTTAACATATTACCAAAACAATCTCTAAGCACTCCCCACATCGCATCAAACTGGATTTTCATTTAGCGGAATTGTCAACATTAGATTTCAATTCATCCTTCATAAAGAGACTCCAAACAATCCCTTATTCTTGGGTTATTCTCTATATAGAGTTCATTAAGCATTCAAGGCATATTTGTCACAATCTAATCTTTGGCCATAATCGACACAAGGGCCTACATGGGTATAACCCACTCGACCCAAGCCAACCTTAACAATTTGTCATTATCATCGTCACAATGACCAAGCATATACTGGGTGTCCTTAGACACAGGTTCAATCTAGCATACAATGTGATATGCAACTCAGTTCCTCGTGCCTATTGGTCAACTGTCTAGCACATTTCCTCATGCTCAATATTGTCATGTATAGTTCCATGACTGTAAGTATTATTAATTATCTACACCCTCACAATGCTCGTTCCTATGAGAAATTGTTACCAAAATTCTTTAATTACTAAATTGTAACAATTTAATCTTATTCAAACACTCAATTTAGCTTTACGAAAATAATAGTAAAATAAAACTAAAGCCAGCAATAAGAATGACAATTTAAACTTAAGAAGTCAATCAGAAAAACCTAAGAGTACAATTTTCTTCAACACTTCATTTGAATCTATTCTCTTCCCTCTTATCTTACTAAATAGAATGAGTTGTTAACTTAGAATTCTAATATATTTATAAGTATCTTTTGATATTCTTATAAAACTATCTCTTTCAACCAATTCACTATATTCTTATGAGAATTAAATTAAAGAAAGATTTATTAAGCTTAGACTCTATAATGGTTACATTTGTCATGAAAGTATATTCTTATCTCACACAAAAATCAAATTAATCAACCAACTAATTGAATTTGAAGACATGTTATTCCAACTATGGCTTACACTAAATTCCCTTTTCCAAGCTTATTTAGGTTACCTAATCAATCCAATTGGTGATTAGTCAATTAGATGCATTAAACACGAGATTGGAAAAAACAACTCAACTATTATTAATCATGAGAAAGAAAGAATATTAAAACTCCAAACTACATGTTAAGTTCAATTGAAATCCTAGAAATATGAATTTAGCTCATCCTAAATATTGAAAACATAATCAAATGAAGTTTAACCATCAATGACAAAAATATCTAAGAAGAAACAAGGAAGAAAAGAAAACTAGAGATTTGTCGGATCTTCAATCTTAAATCTTTCAGTCTTTCTTGCCTTGTTGTATGCTTGGTGGCTATTTTTTCTTTCAGAGAAACCCTAGTTTAAAAAATGCCTTTACATTGCTCTAGAGGTGCTTTCTATAATCTACCGAAAAACCTAATATGAATCAACTTTGGAACAAGATATCGTGCCGGTGCTGTGGCTCCTAACTCTCTGACCCGTGATTGCCTCATCACTTCTTTGTGCCATGGGGCCTTGCTTATTGTCCCATGTAGCACCAATGCTACAATGCTAGTGTTGCAATGCTAGACTTACCATGGCTACACCGTCAAATTGTCACATCTTATTTAGGGAGGGATCGTGACCGGCGCATAAACTTACTTGGGTATGGCCCACTAGGCCTAAGTAAGCCTAAATCCACAAATGCATGGGCTAGTCATCCATCACATTCACAAACATAAACTCATCCATAATCAAAATATGCAAAAATTCATCAAGGCCACCTATTTACAAAACTTCTCAACATAAATTGTGGTTTTTATCATATATCATGTAAATATTCACAATGTTAAACATTTATGGTTCGGCATGTATCCCATACCTATATTGCTATGGTTCATCCACTGTAGTCTCAACATCACCATGCACCCATATCCAAGGCTTAACACAATATGCAAAAGCGTAAACAAGTTTATCAATATTATGTATATAATAAAGCTCATTATCAATAAGACAATTGAAGACTAGACCAGGCACACTGCAAAGTGTATGACACTGAAAGCTTGGAAAGAAGGCTCTACCACACCTACCACAAATGACCTAGCTACTACTTCACAAGTCATCTAACCAAGCAAGCTATTGATCTAAAATAAAATAGGAGAAAATAACACATGAGTCACA